CGCCCCCCCCCCCCTTCGCGCCCGGCCTCCCCCCCCGCCTGTGGCTGTCGTGGCATCAGCCCCCAGCTGCATTGCTGCTGCACCTCGTGCTGGTTGGGGGCAGAGGCGTGACCCCTTGTTTCCCTTTGGCAGGGATGAAATTGCTGGCTGCATTGAGAAGGCGTATGAGAAGATCCTCTTCAATGAAGCCATGAGGGTTCTGTTCTTCAACACGCCCAAGAAAATGACGGAATACGCCAAGAAGGTAGCCGGGAGCCTCGCTGTCGCTGCCTGGCGGCCGAGCCAGGCCTGCTGCCCGTTTCTGCTGCTCCTCCTTCCCACTAGTCCTCCCGAGCTGTGGCAGGGTGAGGCCGACCGGAGCCGGCCTCCTGCGTCGGCAGGATCCCTCAGTGCAGCCCGTGGGACTACAGCACTGGGTTTTCCCCCATCTTCAAAAGTAGTGCCACAGTGCCTCATGGGAATTGTAGTTCAGCTGTCTTTTGCTCACTTCTTTCTGGCTGGCCTACATTTCCCATGATGCACCACTTGCCCTCCTCTTGGAATGGTGCATCGCTTACTGTGATGCATCATGGGAGATGTAGTCCAGCTGCACTACTGAGCTGTGAGCAGTGCCCCATGGGAACCCTGATGCTGACACAGAAGCCGGGACCATGGGTCTTAGAATATCAGCATGGCCTGGGCTGTAATCTGCCTGGAAGGGCCAGACTGTCTGGAATTCCAGCCTGCGCGCCCTGGGAGGCGGAAGTGTTTGTAGCAGAAGGAAATGGCACAGGGCGGGGACAGACCTGGAACCCACAGATCGTGGGGGCGGGGGGTTAAAATGTTCTTTCCTCTTCTTCCAGCGTGGCTGGGCTCTGGGCCCACACAACTACTACAGCTTCAGCAGCCAGCAGCAGAAACCCGAAGACGCCACCATCCCCTCGACAGAGTTAGCCAAACAAGTCATTGAGTACGCCCGGCACTTGGAAATGATCGTCTAGCGAAGCCCCCAGGACTCTCCACACCTCCCTCCCCTGGTTGTTTTAGCGTCTTACTGTGTTCGTCAACCAGTCCGTTTTTTAACGCCACGTCAAGGGTTTCTCCAGGCCCGTGCAGGAGCGGCGGGGCTGCCTGTCCCTTAATGCGGGACCCCGCTGCTCTGGGCTTCTCTCTGGCAGCAGCGTGGGCAGGGGGCAAGCGCCCTGTAAAAACCCTTCTCCATGGGAGGAGCCGCTCCTTTGATCTGGCTGCTGGGGTACGGCTGAGGCCCTCGGCACAGGCACCTCCGATGCCAGCCAGCGAGTGGGCAGGCAGCCTCGCCGAGCCACCATTAAAGTGTCTGGCTTCACGTTCCCTGCTCCGTGTCGTCGCGCCAAAGGGCTGGGCCAGCTCAAACAAAAGGTGGCTCTTGTCCAGCGGCCTCCGCTCGGCTGTGGGAGCGACTGCTGCGTCCTGCTGTGGGGCAGGAGAGGGGGGCCCTGCGATCCTGAGTGGGAAGCAGGCAGCGAGCGCCCCGGCGGCTGGGACGTTCCCTGCCTGGCCTGTGTGTCGGGAAGACCCCGGCTCGGGCCCCTTCCTAAAACGGGGCTCCGCAGGCTGCCCTGCCGCTCGGGGAGGGGATGTAACCACCAGCCCGCGGGGCCCCTTCCCGCCATTCCCCAAGGCTGCTGCCAGCACCGGGCACGTCACCCACTGCAGGGGGCTCAGGTGGGATTTAAAATAAATGGTGGCGGGAAAATCTTCTAGGAATAGAACCTGAGTGCTCAGCAGCCTGGGGCAATGGCCTGGCTCTGCCCCGAGCGGGGCTTCCGCCCTCCCCCCTTAAAGGGGAGTTGCAGCAGGGCAGGTTCCCAGAGCTGGCTCCTGCCCCTGGCCGGGAGGGAGGGGGCGCGTTCCCAGGCCTTTCTGCCCTTCGCACTAGACAAGCGCAGCAGCTAGTGGCTGG